CGCCAGCCAAGAAGTTAAAACTTGGACACAGGTTGGTCTTCCAAAAGAACAATGATCCAAAGAGGTTATAAAGTGATTTCAAGACAATAAAGTCAATGTTTTTGCATGGCCACCGCAAGGCCTTGATCTGAGTCCTATTGAGACGTCGTGGGCAGATCTGGAAAGGTGTGTGCGAGTGAGGCCACCTACAGCCCTGACTCACCAGGTCTGTAAGGAGGAATGGGCCAGAACTCCAGCAAACTACTGTGATACGCTTGTGGATGGACACCTAAAAGGTTTGAACCAAGTCATAAAGTTTAAAAGTACCAAATACTGATGACATCAACACATAAATCTCTGGCATATTCTTTCTGTTATTATTGTGGCATTTAGCAAGTAGAAATAATTCAGACAATTCTTACTGACCCAAAACGAGAAGTTTTCAGAGAATGAGAAAGAAAAACAAACCCTGTATGTTTATTTTTATTTGATGTACTGGTATATAATCTTCTGGTTTCCAGTGTAAATATAATGCTGTGGTGCAACTCTGAATGCAAGTGATGTAAAAAGTCAGCTATGGTTATGAGGGGGATTCGGTGAGAGCTGGGGGAACCTTTTATAAAAAGCCAACTTGAAGCAGGAGGCAGAATAAAAACTTGATAGCCTGTTGGGAGGGTTTAATAATGTAACAAGAACATGTGGTCTTGCTAGAGTTAAGTACACTTAGGAGTGCACTCAGAAGTGTTGTGGAAAGGATACCAGATGACAAGTTGGGACCAGGAGGTGCCAGGAAGATGGTTAACAAACTGCAGCTATGAATCTGGGTCAGGTCTGCGACGGTTGAGGAAACAGTTTAAACAAATCCCCAGATCTGATTACCCAACTCACACGAAATAACAAAAGGCTTCGATGCTTCTAGTTTCTACTAAGAAGTTGACATTTGGATGCGTGTATTGAAAACGTATTCATAATCAAGAATTGCACAGTGACGCTATCCGACATGCTCGTTTTAATCATGAGAGTTTTCAATTGTGTGTACAAAAATTTGAGTGCATGTGAAAGTCTGAGTATGTGTGCATTGCCAGTCTGTGCTATCAGGAGGTTTTAATAGAGTAGTATATGCCTTTGCATTTTACATGACTCTAGGGCAGGCTGCTCTCGCTTGTCTGCTCTGTTCAAATCAGTTGCCTAAACTGGAGCGCAGAATGGACTTCTGGTCTGGCCGTCTCATTCTGAGTGTTGCCTTTATGAGTGAATAAATACATTTACTGCCAAGAACCGTACAAATGTTTTTTTTTTATTTATTTATTTTTTTTTTTAGACATTTTCTGGTTAACACGGTGATATATCATCTGCTCATTATCACCTCTCCACTCTCATATTTCTTTCTCAGGATGAGGGATTGCTGCAACGTCTGCAACGCAGTGCAATCAGCTGGGATTCTGTAGACGGGCTACTTTTACTAAGTGGCAATAAATAATCGACTTAATGAGTTTGTATGGTATTGTCATTTGGATTGAATACAACTGTGTGTAATTGGACCTGAATGTGTTGATTTGAATTTAATTTGGACTAAACCAGTCCAAATTAAATTGGACTGTTTCAGTCCAATTTAATGACAAAGGCTGAAGCTTCTTAGCAATAAATATATTTACCCTTTAATGGAGCTACATTTGCCAGGAAAATGCACTTGTTGATCAAGCAGCCCTATGTGGCTTGTGACTATGCAAAACCACACAGGGCTTTTTATGGTCCCGTGTTGATCTTAAAAAATCTTTTCTGTTATTTCCAAACAGGTTCTGGTGAAAGAAGTGATGGCTTTGGAAAAACATAGCTTGTTATATAGCAAGTCAGGTTTATTTCTTTAGCACATTTTAGCAACAAGGCTGGTCAAAGTGCTTTACATGATAAAAACAATAAAAAGAAACAAAAATAACATTCAAATGCTGTCGTCAAAATCATCTAGAAAAATCATAACTAAATGTATGTCAAGGACATTAATCGATGTTCCAGTTATCATTAATCAAGATTTAACCAAAGACAACTCCAAACAGGTGGGTTTTTCAATGTTTCAGATGTTTTGCAGTTTTCTGGAAGTTTGTTCCAGATTTGTGGTGCATATAAGTTTCTTCATGTTTGGTTTTGGTTCTAGGAATGCAGACCAGAACCAGACCTGAGCGGTCTGGATGATTGATCCAACAACAGCAACAACGGGTCTTACACAGCGGGGTCCATCAGATGGACTGCACCCATGACCTCAACCCCACTTAACACAAACAGGGGCTTTGACCTCCAGTTTGTGTCAGAGTGACCAGACGAAGCTACTTTATCTGATTTGTGACAAATGCTACTTGAAGAACAGGATGCTCTCTCGCAGCAGTGTGTGCCCAAGCTGGTGGCCAGTGTGGGTTGCAGTTGCCAGGCTCCTGTGATTGGATATGGTTGGCCGACAGCCTACTGAGGTCCCTGTTTGTTAAATGGAATATGTTGTTAAAAAGTCAATGTCTTCTTTTCTTAAAGATCAATCATTCAGTACGACAATCAATAGCAAGTTTAAATAACTGGATATAAATTGGACATGCTTTTCTTCCAAAATGCTTTAGTGTTGCTGTTATGGGAATAGTTGATACAGTGCAACAGTATTAAGGCGTGACGCTTAGATTAATATTGAAATCAGGAATGAAACCATTGGTTAATGTGGGCTGTGTTGTTTGGTCTCGATGGCTTGTCTCTAAATTGCAGTAATTCTCATCAGACTGGCCTCTCTAAAGTCTGATGATGCGTTCAGGTGTTCTTGCATCAAGTAAAAAGCAAAGTGATATTAAACAATCACATAGCAGGTGGTCTAATTACTGTAATGAGATGTTATGTCATCATTATGAGTCGCACAAAATCAATGAACCCACTGAAAAAAAATCTACCACTTTATTTGACGAACAAATATTTCGGCAAGCTTATGGACTGACATGACAAATGGTCTTGAGGTAACAGTATCTGGCTTTGTCCTTTTTTTTTCAGGGAATATCCTTCCACCCTTCCACCTGCTAATAATAATAATTATAATGTACAATAAATAATAAAGTTAGCAACTTTCACTGTTGCCACATGCTCATTGAGGCGGAAGGATTGTTAAAAAGTCAGTGACTTGATACAACAGACTGGGTTTCCTTAGAGAGAAACTATTACATCCATTAGCATAGTTAACTTGATAAGTTGATTGCATTGTTTTGGAATTATTACTATGTAAATGACTCTGAGTCTGCCTGTATGCTTGAATTGAATTGACAATATTTCAGATTGGATCAGAGTTTTCAGACATAATGAGCTCCTTCAGGTCTACGTTTTTTGTTTTTTCTTGTTGTTTTAAATGTTTTCAGGTCGTCCTGGCAGTCGGCTCTCATCCCATCTGGCCATCTATATTTGTTTTCACAACACAGGAGGAGCATGTCTCTGAGAACCATTCTCACACTTCCCCTCTCACACGCTCCACTTGGCTCCAGTATAGCAAACGGCAAGAAGTCCGAGCTAGTTATGTTTCCTTCACAAACGCTCGATTAATCATTAATCATCATACTTAAAACTTTCCTTTTAGTCCTGTGTGCAGATCACAGGAAGCTACAGCTATAATTTATAACTTTCAGAGATGTTTGGTCTGAAGCCGCTTCCAAAGCCACAACAACCAAGTCGAGTGGCTCATGGGGAACCACAGCAGAACAGCCAGAGCTCTGACGAAGCAATAAGAAAACCTGACTTGCGCTTCAAACTATGAAAGCTCTGGCAATATTGACAGAAACCGACTTTAGCTAACAAGCTGAGAACTATCGCAATCATTCTGTGAACTATTTACCGAGGTGAAAAAGCAAGAAATGTCGCTTAGACAGAAACACCAACACAGACCACAGATTTTGCATGATTAATGTTTTTTGTACACAAAATAATAGTGGGTAGACAATGTTTTAATTGGACTGGTATAGCAGTTAAGATTGGCATGAAGGCTTATATGGACTGAACAGATGCACGCCACACTTTTCAGATTTTTTAAAATTATTATTATTTTTATTATTTTGTAAAGCCATGTATACTTTTTCTTTCCACTTGATAATTAAATACTACATTAATGGTCTATTACAAAAAAACTCAACAAAATACATTAACATTTGTAGTTGAAGCATGACAAAATGTGAAAATATTCAAGAGTCCTTAATACTTTTGCAAGTATTAATGACTTTTTTTTTTTAGATAACAATAACAATAATAATTGAATCTTTTAAGGGGTGCCTTTGTCTGGACTTGGGATGAGATTTCACACCATTAACCCCCAACCGCCCACAACCCCCAACAACCCACCTTCATCCCGCCATCCCTGCACCATAAATATTTCAACCTCCAATCTATATTCATTATAAAACACATGCTGAATGCAATGTGCGGTTGTGATGACACAAGGCTTTTATTTATTCATCTTATTTATTTATATTTCTTTCCTGAGGGCGAGACATTGGTTTCTGTCCATTCTGTGCCTGATTGCTGGCTATTACTGAGCACTTAGAGCCTCCCTCGAACTGGCCAGGGGGGAGCGCAGGCCTCGAGAGAGGCACTCTTTACTACTAGGAAGTGTGTCTGTTGCGTGTGTTTTTGTGAAGAGGTATCGGGGACATCGCAAAAGTAATTGTGAATTCGGATGTCTGCTGTGAAACAGAGCGCTGCGACAAAGAAAATAATGTTGTTCAAGTTTTCACAAAAAAAAAACAAAAAAAAAACTTTGGAGACGTTCTGAATGTTACCTTCTTAGTCAGCTGCACCAAAATGGGAAAAAGTAGTAAAACACACCATTTTGTATGCATGCTCCTGCTAGAAATTCATCGTTTCATCGTCCTTATTCAAATCTCTGTACTGTGACCAGAACTACATTTGTAGCGTATTTTGCTGGGATGAACCCTCACAAAGTAATGCATGGTTGTGAACTGGAAGAACAGCGATTCATGTTTTTCAAAACTGTTTGCCAATTAAAATCTGCACAGATAAAGATGCCCCCCTTTACTCTTGCCCCCCTCAAAACTACCACTACCTTCAGAAGTCATCGAGTAACCAAAAGAAAGTAAGTTAATAGTCTTAAATTTGATGGATTTATATATAACCTCAGTGCATGCCCAGTGAGGAAAGCAATTTATATTTGATCCAATTTTGTGATTCCAACAGGATTTGTACAATCAGCTCTTAAGTTTCTAATAGATCGTATAATCTAGTTTTCTTCTGCTCTGCGCACCTGACCTCTGACGATGTTTGTGTTTAATCTTCAGGGAGCCTTTTATGCAGCACCATCAGAAGAGGCTGATTATGGCAGCACACCGGTGTCGTCTTGGTCTCCTGGGAGCCTCTGTGTGTTGCGGTGCCATAGACGCTTGTAGGTCAACTCTGCAGAACACACGCTACATGTTCTGCTCTGCTTATACGTGGATGACTGCGTCTTGTGGTACAAAACCACCAAGGTGTCCACAAACCTTTCTGTTTCTGACTTCCTGACTTTGTGAAGATAGTCATTGGAGACAGCAAAGCAAAACTGAGGCATAACTAAACAAAACCTCTTCTGACAGCCATCAAACAACCAGGGGGCGCTGGAGTTCCTACACTTAATATACATTTCAAAGCTTCAGATTTGTTTGTCGGAAATGCAGCAATAGTTTTAGAAAGTGTAATTTCTGTGTATCTAATTTGTAAGCCATGTCCAATTCCAGTTTTCAACACACGACACAAACGCTGTCAGATGCCACATAAAAATGGTGGCATCTAAATTAAGTGTGGAGAATAAGAACAGAACTTCCAAATCATGACAAGAACAGAGTTAAGTAGGGTTTTTTTTTTCCATCCCTGGGACACACAACAAATGTCTCTATTCTTATGAAGTATGTACCAGTCAGTCATCGATTAGCTAGCCAGAGAAGTAGCCCGATTTTAATTTATTTATTTTTTCAAATAGAAATAAATATTTATTTAAATAAATAAAGTGATTGAAATTGTTTCAATTTCAATCACTTTTCACTAAATTCTACAGATTTATTAAACAATTCAGTAGAGCCAGAGGCTGGGACTGAAGTTGTTCTTACGTCCCAAATACATTTGGGACATTATATTTAAATTTGAAGTCAGAGTTGTACAAACTCTTTTTATCTCATGTAATGAGATAAAGTGAGGAATGAAATCAGGCCAGTATGTAAACAACAGACCTCATCTCTGGCAGGTTTTCCACATGTGCATCATTTTCCTCCAGTTGTTTCCGTGTCCAATCGCTGGGTTTTAGAAATCTGCTCGTCGTCAGCTGCAGCTTCATAATTATGACCACACTTATGTCTCTCCAGCTTAACTTTGTTTTGAATAACTTTGCGTAGTATTAGAGCAAAAATGAACTTAAGACATTTCTAAAATCCTCTCACTGTTAAGATACTGCGTCATTACAAACATACTTCCTGCTTGTTAAAAAAAACAAAAAACATTCCTTTTGATTCATTCAGAAATTGGAGATTATCCCATTTAATCACTGTACCACGTCACACTGACAATGTTGTAATTTACAGAGTACCTTGGAAAATGTTTAATTTTTAAATATGATGACAAGGTTTAGAAATGTTTGGTTAAAATTTCAAAAAATGTTTTACACTTATATTGAAGTGTTTGGGGCATATTTTTACAAGCTTCTCAAAATAGTTCAAGTTACTTTTAACTTCCCGAGGGTTTGTACTTGAGTTTTAACGTCATGGCTGAAGTCTTGAGATGTACATCAGTATTTACCCCCACAACATAATGCTACCACTTCCATATTTCACAGACTGGACGTAGTTTTCAGAAATGGAAGTTTCATCCATTTTCCTCCAAATCCAATAATGGTCATTTGGCAAGACACTTTGATTTTGGTTTCATCCGACCAGAGGATTGTAGTAACAAGTAACTGTTACTACAGTTACTTGTAGTAACTGTAGTTACTACAGTTGCTACAGTAGTAACTACAGTTACCACTGTAGTTACTACTATAGTTACTACTGTAGTTACTACAGTTTAATTATGTTTAACATTTAATTATGTTTAATTAAATTAAACATAATTTAATTTTTAAATTATGTTTAAAAATTAAACATAATTAAATTTTTAAATTATGATTAAAATTAAACATAATTTTTATTTTAAATAATGTTTTGAGCAAGGTAGAGAGCTTCCCGTAAAGGATTTTTCAGAAAACCTAAAAACTTGTGTAAAAACAGCTTCTCAAATGCAGCAATTTTGATTGTGCGAAGTGTTTAACTTGTTGTCCTGCCTTTCTAACACGAGTCTGTTTTTTTGTTTTTGTTTTTTTTTATTTAGATGTTTAACATATTTCACTTGTCCACATTTACTTGTTTTAGATGTGTGGCCATGTCTGCTGGAGACATGAAAACCCCTGTTCTGCAAACCCCAAGAGCACGTGAACATGACCCAATATCAAATAGCATCTTGTTGTTGCTATGAAGGTGCGTATAATAGTATGGGAATAGAAAGAGTCAACATCCTCTGCTAACTCTTTCTGGTCCTAATGGATCTTTATTGACTGTCATCATGAAACCACAGTGATTATTCCTCTCTGCACACACTGGAGCTCTTTCTCGGGTGTTATGGATAAGTGTCAATACCCCCGCCTTTGCTTAAACGCATCCCTTCAGACTTGGAGCATCCGTCCGCTGCCTCCCGTCCTCCTCCTCCTCTTTCCTCTGCCTTTATCCCTCCATCTAACCTATTGATTGGACTAATAATGTGTTTTCAGCAGCAGATTAATGGCACATTATCCTAACGAGGGTGTCTGAGGGGACAGGACGTGAGGGAGAGTGTTAGAGATGATGCTCTTTAATTGATACCCAGTCTGCATTCGTGGGCCAAAGTTTTCCAGTGGTGAGAGGTTTTTACGTCTGGTAATGAGAGAAACCAGACGTAGTCCTAGACATTTTACCTCGGATAACAATTTACTTTTTCATTCAGATAAAATCTTTAGATGACCATAAATTTTAATGACTTATAAGTCACTGGCTTTTTTTTTTTCTTTTAAAGTGCGTTACTTGAATCTAAACCGAGGCAGAAAATGCAACAGAGATTATTGTTAGTGGGCAACATAGAATGAATGTTGCATAAATGGTAATTATGTCTACTTGCACTTGAGTATCGGTACTTGTAAGTAGTTTGGGAACCCAATTTTTCAAATGAATTATGCAAAGCTTAATTATAAAAATCCCAATTNAATANTAGCAGTGTGTCTGTAAAACACTCTGCTATAAAATTAATTGATTAAAAGTTGTGCACTTTCACTCTCACGCAGCTTCCCTTGCAATTAACTTTTGGACATGTTCCAGTCTGGCCTCACCTTCTCTCGTCCTTGCACTTTTATTTCACTCTGCATCACTTTCTATTATCGGATTTCATCCCTGCTGGCATCTTTCAATTTCCTCCACCAATTTGCATTGGTGGTAAAGGGGACGAAGGGTGGGTGATCCTAAATAGGCAGATCAATGGGCCATCTAGCAGCCCATAATGTATAACACCTACACTGGCGTTGCATTTCAAGTTTCCACCTCTAACTAATAGCCTTGTTGTTTACCAAACAATATGCTGCATCAGGTAGTTTTGGCCTCTGATTTCCCTGCAGGGCTTTGGGACACCCGGGGGAATCCAAGTAGAGAACGGGTCAGCTGGCACAACAGCGTCTTAAATTGTTTGTTTTTTGGGGTTTTTTTTGTGCTTTACTAAACAGTTGTAAGTGTAGGTCTTCATTAAAGTAGGCCTTCTTTCTGCTTTGACTCTTGCATGCTGACGATCGTCTGTCCCGTCATCTTGGGCGATGACCTCTGTCAGATGACACGGAGAGGTCAAGAGAGGCTAAAGAAATGGGTGAGCCCACCAAGGGGCCCCCAAGCAAGTCATGCAGAAAAGGTCCCCCAGGCAGGGTTTACACTGCGACACACTTGGAGCTGCTCGCCGCCTCCTTTTCTTCTCAGGAAACAACGGGGACCCCCGGCTACAGTGAGGCACAGACCCATGCAGCAATACAAACTGGACCGTAGTTTTTCCAATACAAACACACACTCATCAAGCAGCTCTCTCCCTTTCTTCCCACTCCCTCCCTCAAGGCGCGCTCTCCCTCCTCGGCCCCCGTTCATTCAGACATAATCAACACAGTTGTGCTTCAGTGCACAGATTACGATAATGAGCTATGGCAAGGCGGTAGGCAAGAGGGGAAGCACAGTGAGAGAGGGAGAGGGACGGTGGAGTGACAAAACGAAAAGAGCCGAGTAGTAGAAGCAATTAGTGCTTCTTACAAGTAGCAGTGCTCTGAGTTAATGTGCAAAGTTAAATAAATCATATGTTGTTTAAATGATTCGTCTCCCTCTCTGTTAGTCACCCTTTGAAAACTGATGCTTTCAAAGATGGTGTCGTCTTCCCCAATAAGTGTAAGGTAATTGTTGATAATATGCCATCATGCCACAACTTGTATGTTGCCACTCTGCCAAAATGTCTAACCAGACGCAGAGGATTGTGGGTACAGATGAGTTTAGAGGCTTGAAAACATGAGACAGCCTGACTGGCCTCTTAGTTTGGTAAACACACGTGCCTGCACTCTGTCTTTGAATCCAATGCAAAAAAAATGAACGTCAAAGATCAAAAACTAAGACAAAACCCTGTTCATTTTAACTAACATAGCTACTGAAGGTTAATTATGTAATCAGTGATACAATGATAAGTTCAGATTTTAATACTGATGCATTCAGCCTTTTTGAACCTTTTTTAAACTAAAAACATCCAACAAACACGTTAAGGATAAAATCTACTTCAAGAACAATTTGTGTCTTGTTTTCTGTGCCACGATTTGCTGAATGCATGAACGCTTTCACCAAATCACTACATCAAAAATCAGCATTTATTATGGAGAAAACAGAAATTATTTAAGATGCCTCAATGACCACTTTAAAAAAACAGAAGAAGCAGCAAGGCTGATAATTAAAAACTGTAAAACCTAATATGTGATGCAGTGTTGAGCTCAAGAATTTCCAGCAAATGGTTTTGCAATTTAAAATGGAATAAAATGATTATATTTATTTTAACTACTCTTCCAGATTCAGATACATCTATAAATATCTAATTAGATTTCTGTCTTCATAGCAGAAACACATTATCCCTATCTATTATTATTATTATTATTATTATTATTAGTAGTATTAATAATAGACTAGCATGATCTATTTTGGAAAATAATTTGAGTACCCACAGGAAAAAATGGGTTGTAATAATAATAATAATAATAATAATAATAATAATAATAATAATATAAATAAAAATTTACACAAATCACTGTGTATTTTTCCAACTACTTGGACTTCACTTTTTTCATCAAATTCATCTTTCGCATGTTATTTTTTTTATTATTATATTAAGCTTTTATTATAATTAAATCTTAAATGTTTCACTTGTGCTGGAAAATTTCTTTATAAATAATTGGATTTTATTTGTCTGAATAAGATTTGCAGGAGAGTGCAGTTTTCCTTTGTGATCACTTTCACCTGTAGTGATCATGTCAACACAATGGTCTAAGTATGTTTCATAAAAGCTGACTTGCTGCCGAGGCTGGAATTAGATGCACTTCCTCAAAACAAAATGAGATAAGCCTCACCCTTTTGTCTGCACCTATCATCCATTCGCTGCACGGATCAGCAACTTCCCGTATTTACTGTCTAACCAAGGTAAAGAATTACGATCGTCAAGCCCCTCTTCTGACATATTGCACATTGCATAATTAATACATGCAGATGTAATGCAGTTGCACACCACTCAGAAATGTAGACAGGCATGAGTTCCAGACCTCATGTCTCCATGTGATTACCTTCTAAACTTACCGAGTTCACTTTAAATTTACCAGAAGCATATGAGTGCATATGAGACTCATTGATCTCTTACAATTTACAAATATTTATACTTTTCATAATAGTTTTTAGCTACTTTCAGCAGTACTTATGGTATATTTTTGACTTATCACACTCACTAAAACAGGTGAAGCAGCGTGGGGGGTTTGGATTATGATTCAACCTCAGGTCAATTTATAAAACTATATATTAAAGATTTTACTTGTGTACAATTTTGCAACTCAGGTTCAGTTTGCTTATTTGAACTTTCCACATTGGATTATCATATGAAAAACTGCAAAAGGTAATGAAAACAGCATTGTATTTTACATTTCTCATCTTCATATTATTCCTGAAACAGTCAGTATGTTTGCATATCAAAAAATTGAATTAATTCTGTAAAGCTTATTTTTCAACTGTTTAATAACAGTAAAATGTGTAATGAGCCTTCTTGGCAAAGTGGAATAAAGTAAGAACGGATATTTAGAAAAAAATAAAACACATGCGTAAAACTAAATAAATTGTTAACTACATTCATTTAAATACATAACTTTAGTATAAAAAAAATCATGACAGAAAACGCATGCAGATAGGCTATAGTAATAATTTCTTTGGTGGCTTAGGCTGCAGTTGATAAAATAAAAAAAAAAAAGAAATACTATTATGCGGTAAACAATAACATGTAACTGATACTGTTTTAGGCCTTCTTCTTGGCTATCAGTTATGCCACCTGTTCTTTTAAAGGCCTTTTCTTCAACTGGAAATAAATAATGCCGTATATGCCTAGTCGTATGTAATAGGAAACTAATTATTTCCCATTTAGAGTTGCAGTCTTCATTAAAATGATGACAATTAGAATAAAAAGTTATGGCCGCTAAATGTCTCAAACGCTCCAAAACACTTGGCAAACAGGACAACCAAAAAGAGCCTTTTTCGCACAGGAAACCATTAAAATGTCGTCATACGTCCCCGTCGTACAGGCTGAAGTACTTGCTGGCGTTAGAGAAGCAGAGGTAAGGCGTGCTACTCCCCGGGTACACCACCGGAAGGGGCATGGGCAGCAGACATCTACCCAGCAGGTTGCTCTCTTTATACAAGGCCGGCAGATTCACCACCGACGCCGGTTTCCCAGAGTCGGGGAAATCGCTAGCCGGTCCGTCGATCTCGGTGGAGATCTGGCGCTTCAGTTTATTCCTGCGGTTCTGAAACCATATTTTCACCTGCGTCTCCGTCAGCTGTAGAGAGCTGGCCAGGCACGCGCGCTCTGCGCTGCTCAGGTAGCGTTTCATGTCGAAGGTAGACTCCAACTGGAAAATCTGTCTCTTGGAAAAAATTGTGCGCGTCTTCTTTTTGGTCACTATTTTGCTCTTTTTGTTGGGGCTCCCTCCTCTGTGGGGGTCCGTGGGAGCCACCAGCGCTGCTGCCGTCGCGGTGGTGGAGATGGAGCCGCTGTCGTCGCAGCTGCTGTCCCCGCTCTCGAAGCGCGTGTCGGCCGCCTTCCCCTGGTTCCCGCAGTTGATGATGACCGACTCTACCGTTCCGCTGCCGGTGCTCAAAAGCCCTGCAAATTCAGTGAAACTCACTTAAGTAGCCCTTTCTGGTTTCTCCGTGTGTCGGATTGAAAAATTATGATAAATAAGGCAAATTCTCCAAGCTTCTTACCGCTTTGGCTCAACCTGCTGCCCGGGTCTGGCCTCTGCTTTGGGACCGCTTCATCCTGCTGCCCGGAGGAATGACAGCTGTTACAGCTCGTCTTCAGGTTCAGGATATTGTCAATGGTGAATTTCAGAGAGGCGATGGGTCGACATGGTGCTTCTGCTTTGTTCATATTCTCCTATATGAGACTTTAATTTTTCCTCCACCTCAGACTTTCTCCCTGAACTCTGAACCGGGGTGTTATTCTCTCCGCTGGCGGTGGGACGGTCCTCGCACCATAGCAGCAGCCACTGAGCAGACACAGCTCAGATCTGCTTGCGCTGTTACTACTCGCACCAGACGGAGCGCTTGGTCGTCGCTGATTGGCTCAGAGACTCTGTCAGAATGGACCAATGGCAGTCAGAGAACAGAATCAGATGGGAGAGCCGAGGGGTGTCGTGCTGTTCTTTTTCAATAAAAAACACCTCATACTGTTCTCATCATAGGAGCGGTGTCTCATGGAGTCATTACAGAGCCCCTGGAGAGGATAACATAATGTGATTTTAATACTTCTAATTTAACACCAACTGCATTCCATCATGTATTTTAATTTTCAAACGTCAACGTTGTAAAACATGCACCGTTCTGCACATTTAATTACCGGACTTTTCAGATATATTTAACTATTCTAATGCACAGCTGATACTCGATACTAATTGAACCCTGAAATGTCATTCAAACCACCATATGTCTTTACGATGTTCTTTAATAGTCAGTTATAGGCATTTCGGAATAAATATAGGTAATCTCACACACACACACACACACACACACACACACACACACACACACACACACACACACACACACACACACACACACAGTTTATGTATGTACACATACAGTGTGTGTGTGTGTGTGTGTGTGTGTGTGTGTGTGTGTGTGTGTGTGTGTGTAGTTTAATTGTGGTTTTTAGTGCGCTGTGTGTATAAAACGTACAAAGAGCACATTTGAAGGGAACACTTCAAGATGTTTAAAATTAATTACCTTCATTTTTAAAAATAGTTTCCAAAATAAAACCCCACATGCTTTATGAGTTGGCTTGAAGAAAGTTAGAAACATTCAAACACAATGTAGGTAAGGATCGGAGCACGATAACAACAAAGACGTACATTTTAGTGCATGATTTATTTTTATTTTTTTTTTCTAATTATGTGAAAATGTGGCAAAGTTGGAAAAAAAAATCTGTGACTTTAAATAGTCTATAAAACTTTTCAAAAATACATGTATTTAAACATTACATACAACCCGCTGCCGTCAGTCTGGCCGTGCTTATTTATTTGTAGCGTATACAACCTCAGGAACAGAAACCTAGAATATCTCGATGTAAAATTGATGAATTCTTTGTTTCGTATCTTTGGGTGCAGACCGCATTTCCTCTGCAGCATGCTGGGTTATTGCACAATTACATTGACTGAGTGAATATCTGAAGTTTTTATTATTATTATTCTCAGTCAGGTTGAGTTTCTACACTAAGCCGGTCATCTGCGAGCTTAACATATTCACGGAGTGGGCAAACGGCGACAGAGGATGGTTGACGGACCAGGAGGGGGAAACTGGAAGTCCGTTCAAGCTGAAACCAAGAACTCCAGTGGAAGTTTGCCTCTCGTGATACAAAATCGGCACTCTGAAAACCCGCTGAGTTGAGTTCGGGATGTGCGAGGCCTCCAGATCTGCCGCCAGCTGCCTTTTCCACTTGTTCCTCCGGTTCTGAAACCAGATTTTCACCTGAGTCTCCGTCAGGTGCAGGGACGCGGCCAGACTCGCTCTCTCAGAGCTGCTCAGGTACCGCTTCAGGTCAAACGTGGACTCCAGCTGGAATACCTGGCTGCGACTGAACACGGTCCGGGTCTTCTTCTTCCGACCGGAGCACGACCCGGACGCTGAGCCCCGCTCGCGTCGTGCGTTCGGCCCACTTGACGCGTCCTCGTTCTCGTCCGTGAGACTGCCGTCGGCCGTCTTTTGGTCGGCTTCGTCGCTGCTCTCAGTTATCGGTTCGGAAACGGCGGGGGAGTTCCTGTCGCTGGTCGATAGTGCGCAGCTGGGGTCATCTGATGTCGGGCCTTGAAATGAGACAAAACAACATTCCTCATGAGGACAGAAAATCAGTGCAGCCTGTATTCCAAATATTCAGAGTTCTATTGTTTTTCTAATGTAGCTCATTGAGCTTCTCCAGAAGCGCAATAATATTTAATTTTGTGCCTATGCGATGTCATATCTACACATCCCTGCTTCATTTTATACCCCA